ATTAAAAACCTCACAGAATCTATCATAAATATTTTCAAAGAATTCAAGGAAATAAAAATTGCTAAATATAAAACTGAAAAAGTCTCTAAACTTTTTTCTAGAGTGAAAGATCCAACTCCGCTACTATATAACTGTAATGTCATATATCGATTGTCGTGTTTGGGTTGTCAAGGCTGTTACATTGGACAGACCTCACAGTGGTTAAAACAACGTTTAACACAGCACAAAAGTGATTGCCGTATTCATAAGAATACTTGTGCAGTGGTTGAGCATTACATAAAAACAGGACATGAATTTGACTACAGCAATCCAAAAATTTTGCAATGTGTCAATAATTATAAAGCCCGATTGTTTCTTGAAATGTGCCATATTAACAAAAACAAATATTCAATTAATTACAAGTCTAATACACAACAAATAAGCAATATATACTGTAACATTTTTCAGTTAAACCACGGATAATGTAATGTTCGGCCACCGAGTAGCGTATTCGCGTTGCGTTGTTGATCCACGGAGTAGGTTATTTTGATGCCCTTTTTTGTCATTATTTAGATCGATTGTTTTTTTTCGCTACCCCCGTTAGCGCAACTTTTGCCTACCATTATTAAGAATTGTATACTAAGTGTTTATCCGTTTGTTTCATTATGTCGCTTCGTTCATTTACCTTAACTGTAAAGTATGGTTTATGAGGAACTATGTGGTAGACTCTAATTTTGTAAGTATTTCTCACGATTGTTTTAATTGTCTGTTATATAGTTTGACCTGTTGTTTTCATTAAATTTTAGTTCACTCCTGAAGAAGTCAACAAATAAATTGACGAAATATTGAGTGTTAAAGAAAAAAGGAGCTTTCTATTTTAACCACGGACCGCTACCCGATATCCTTTGAATTCAAATAAGTTTTGTACGGTCGATATAAGAAGAAATTCCAAGTGTTATATATATATATATATATATATATATATATATATATATATATATATATATATATATATATATATATATATATATATATATATATATATATATTCTCACGTATTGATTCACGGATGGAAAAATGTGATGACACTATATTCCGGGATATCATCCGTTCGCTCGTTGGACTCCGACTGGAATCCTGCATCCGACTGGAATGGAACACTGTGTGTTCGAAGTGTTTTCGGAGCGCAAGCATTGAAGATGCCAAGTGAGATTTTGGCGAAACGTCTGCAGGATTCCAGTCGGATGCAAGATTTGCAGGATTCCAGTCGGATGCAGGATTCGAGTCGGAGTTCAACGAGCGAACGGATGATATCCCGGAATATAGTGTCATCATATATATATATATATATATATATATATATATATATATATATATATATATATATATATATATATATATATATATATATATATATATATATATATATATATATATATATATATATATATATATATATATATATATATATATATATATATATATATATATATATATATATATATATATATATATATATATATATATATATATATATACTTTCTTGGATCCTTTTGATTTTATATATTCTTAAGAAATGGTTCTTGGGTTTTTTTAGGTCCTTTTTTAGTGAAATTAAAATAAGTTTCCGTTACTTGTGAAACATTTTATTTTTTGTGAAGTTTCGGCCTTCAAGACCTTCTTCAGACATTTAATTTTAACCTACAAAAATGTATTTTTAAATAAAATTATTTATAGCATTGTTTTCCTGGTCATAATTAAAACATAGATAAAAATTTGTATAGGAGTCAGCATTAAAATGATTAAAAATTACTAGTGCAAGTCAATAGAACAAACAAAGTGATTAAAAATTGTATAAAAATAGATGCACAACAATAAAACATACATAATTTTTTATATTACGATTACATACATACCTTAAGCCAAAAATCAACGGTTCACTATATAGTTGTTTGGTAATTTACAGTTTTACAACATTCACAACAGACATATCGAATATGTAAATCGACAAGCCACATTGATAGGACGACGAACCAAAACAATAATGCGAAGCCCTGATGTACGTTTCTTCACGGTAGGACAACGGAGTTTTTTTTTTTTTTCTAAAGCTTTTTTTTTTGTGAGATTCACGGGTTAATGTGTCTCTTTATTTAATTAAGTTGTGATAAATCTTGCTGAGATTTTTTGTGTCAGTCTTAGAGTTTATGGCTTTTGAATTTTTTTGGATCTCAATCATTTCATAAAATTCCCGTCTTTTTGTGTGCCTTTCTGAGCGTAAAATTTTCACACTTTGAAAGTCAAACGAGTGCTGATTCTCTCTGGAATGGCTCGAAAGAGCAGTGTTATTTTTTGTCATATTTATGGCCGTTTAAGCGACTTTTTAAGTATTGACTAGTTTGTCCGATGTAGACACCGTTACAATTTTGGCACGGTATTTGGTACACCACGTGGCTTTTTTTCTCGTCAGGGATTTTTGCTTTTAATTTACTAAAGTTTTGTTCTAATAGGTTATAACCTTTGTGTGCCACAGTAATGTCGTGTTGTTTGAACACATTGCACCAATTTGAGTGTTTTTGAGTATTTTTCTTCTCGGATTTGTTACCAGCATTTTGATGGTAAAATTTATGTATCCGTTTATTGAAAATTTTAATTATTAATACATCCGGATAACAGTTTAATTTTAGGGCTTGTTTTGCTTTTTTAATAGCTTGCTGTCTGTACTCAGGATCGGACAGTTTAATAGCTCGGTCGGCTAAACCTATTATTACGGATTTTTTTTGGGTGATGGGATGTTGGGAGTTGAAACTTACATACCTAGATGACCAAGTATTTTTGGTGTACCATTTGGTTTTGATCTGGTCTTTGCTGTGGTATAGAGTCAGGTCTAGAAAGTTAATGACGTTGTTTTTTTCGATCTCTATTAAAAATTGAAGTTTGTCGCTGTATGAATTAAAATTCTCTAGAATATCATCGATTTCAGTTTTTGGGACAGCACTTACGCAGTCATCGACATAACGATAAAATAGGGGGATATGAAGATTTATATTTTTTAGTAAGGATTCTTCCAAATCTTCCATTACTAACTTTGCAATAACACTGGAAATCGATGTTGATGTAAGCTGTAGAATTAACATTAACATCAACCTATTTCTTATTCAATGACACATATTACATGCAGGTCGATTGTTGTGCAATGGGAGCATGGATTTCCAGTGTTATTGCACAGTTAGTAATGGAATATTTGGAAGAATCCGTACTAAAAAATATAAATCTTCATATCCCCCTATTTTATCGTTATGTCGATGACTGCGTAAGTGCTGTCCCAAAAACTGAAATCGATGATATTCTAGAGAATTTTAATTCATACAACGACAAACTTCAATTTTTAATAGAGATATATATATATATATATATATTTCAATGTTGAAGAATAAAAAAAAAACTATTATAAATAATAATTATACATGAATATAATGATATTCATGTGAAGATAATTGAGATATTATTTATTCTGAGATCAAGTAAATAAAAACTTACACAAGTTAGAATAATATGGAAATAGACAAATTATAACGATTAAACTGAGGTGACTTCTGCTTGAGAAAAATCAATTTAACAAAATAAATAAGAACTAAAAGTTCAGATTTTCACGAAATTATGTATTTTCAAATGACATTTGTTTCGACAACACCGTGTCTTTATCAAATTACATTTACATACATACAAATACATTTGATAAAGACAAGGTGTTGTCGAAACAATTGTCATGTAAAAAAATATAATTTGGTTAAAATCTGAACTTTTAGTGCTTAATTATGTTGTTAAATTATAATGATTGTTGTCGTGAAAAAAAAGTTTACCATTTACAATTCAACTTTATTTTAGTCAACATATGCCAAGTGGTCATGTGATCTAAAAAACTGTTAGAGAACATTGAGCTGAGGTGCCTTTAACATGATTAAAATCTATAAATAAGAACTAAAAGTTCTGATTTTCACGCTCCGAAACACGAGCATTGAAGATACCAAGTGAGATCTTGGCGAAACGTCTGCAGAATTCCAGTCGGAGTTCAACAAGCGAACACATTTGATGAAGACAAGGTGTTGTCGAAACAATTTGTTTAGTTCTTATTTATTTATTTCTTTATAGATAATATTGCCCTACGCACCCGTTTGTGGATAGATTGAAGTGACCCAGTAAATTGTCCAACTCCGTCGCCTGACTTACACCCACTAGATTATTATTTGTGTGTATCTGTAATTTTATACCTTCCATATAAGTAGAGAGATCAAAAGAGTTGCGAAGGTGAACTAATGTTGTTGGAAATTAATTTAGTAACAATCGCTTCCTAAGACATTAGAATAATGCCTCGACTATGTATTAAAAACAATCTGCCAACATATGAAAATTAACAAATGACAAACCTAGCAAGACCTACGTTTCATTTTTTTATGAATAAATAAGATTGGCTAAACAGAGTATTAGCGATGTTAATCAAGTGTACCTTTTTCTCGTAACACTATAGAAAAAGTCTCAATGTCAACGCACAAAAGTTATTTAGTTTTTGTTACTGTTATCTTTCAAAAGTTACGTCCCTGGCAAAAATTTTACATTACTAAAACCTTCTGTCAACCTGTTTCAGAAATATTAATAAACAAAACCCATTTCGGGTCTGTTCCTTTTTGGGCACATGGCTCCGTTAGGCTCGATATATGTTTATAAAGAAAACTGGGACCTATTCTGGACCTAGAATATGCGGTGATAATTTGGCGGACACTTTGTATAGTTATACCCACACTCAAAGTTAGTTTTATCGAGACTAGAACTATTCGTTCAAAGACCAACATATTTTGTAAAATAAAAATTGGTTTCTATACAAAAAAAAATCTACCTGAGGAGTAATATTTTTCCTTTTTTCAAGAATAGCCACACTGCAGAAAATAATATATGAAATTACTTGATTTAATTAAAAAATACTCTTAGAAGATTATCAAAAAATCGCTATCGATGTTCGTGATTACCTTGAATAGCCGTACGGCTGGACTCCGGTTCCGGTAGCAGATGGGTGGTGGTAATGCGATCTTTCATATTTCGGAACATTGTTGAAGTCGCTGATGCTTACTGGCGTGAAAACAGGATTGACTAGCGGACTTATCTTAGTTTCCATTGCAAAATAGTAGTTACTGTTGTTCTGCAGATAGTCTTCGTCAGACTGGAACAAATATGGGAAAAAGCACCGGTGTTGAGTAACTGCTTATATAGTCGGACGAGTTTTGGCGTTGAAAATGGCCGGAATCCTCGTGCTACGACAATTGAGATGGCCAACGCGATGCCATGTCTAATTTAGTATGCACAGGGTGATCCAAATTCGAGGGGGATATATTTATACCAACAAAAACATTTTTCTCCACCTACACCTATGTCAGGAATAAAGTTAAAACATTTAAACTTTTACTTAGCAAGTCAAAACAAAATTACAATGCACTACAGTTTGCGATAAAAGAAGTATATAATTCCACAAAGTAATATAAAATTATTATTTTCAATAATCTCTTTATAGTGTCCACTGTATTTCAAAAATAAATCAGATTTTAATTTTAAATTTAATTAAAGGATATTCCGATATAATTTATATTGAGGACGAACGGTTAACATTTGAAAGTAAAATAAAACACTGAGTAAGAACTTCGGATGAAATACCCCTCTATTTATTTTACATAAACAAAAAGTAGAACGCCAAATTAATAAAATGATGGAGCAGAAAATTATTTGATCTAGCTAGTCACTCTGGAATTGGCCGATTGGGGGCGTCCGGACGTATCGAAAATAAACAGATGGAGAGTAGTAGTAGATTTTAAAAGAGGAACATAAATGACTTCCTGGACAACTTAGGAAAATGCCAGTACTACATTGGATTTAGGGAGTGGGTTTCATCAAATCCAGATGCACGAGAACCATATATAGAAGACAGCTACTAGAAGTTTAGCAGAAAATTTTGTCTAAATTAAATGAAAGCAGAGATAGAGCTGACATGTTCCCAGCAAACTTGCCGGTACCGGCGACAGACAAAATCAGACTTCGAGACACAGACTACAAAATTAGACTACGACCTCAGAAATTTACCATTTAAACTAGGACATGAGCATTATGTATTACTACTACCTAAAGGCGATAATAATCGAAATTAATAAATTAAGATTGCGATCTAATAAGATAACAAAGTTACTAATAAAACATCCTGAGTATTATACTGAAGCATTGTTTAAGTCAATAACTGGTAATTTGGACGCATCAGATGAATGAACATTATGAGCAACTAATACGAAATCCTGAATTATTATGAAAATAAGTTAGAAAGGAATATTACAAAACAAAACTTAATCTCGACAAACATTATATCTAAATTTGACTCTACTATTCAACAAATACATCAAAATAAAAAACTCATTGAAAGAAAATTAAACCAGTTCATAAGATAACATATCGAGAAAATATATATTTTATTAAAGGTATTAACGGAATTATAAATATGTTGATAAAAGTGTTGAATGAAATCTTACGATAGGAGTTTAAGTAGGGGTTATATGAAGTTGGGTATAACACATGATTTCCGTCGGTTGCTGTTCATTGAGTACGTTTCGCAATAATCTATTTGATAGTACAAGGTGACATGTTAAGACATTGACGTTAATAAAAATAAACAATCTTTTCCTCTTCTCCAAAATGGTTTCAGTGACTATACATATGGTTTATTCTTATTGATCCATTTAAATATTACTTGGTTCTTATATTAACGCTTTTATTAGCCTAGAGAGTGCCTAAAATTGGGTTTTTCTGCTACGTATGTATTTTTTCGGTTTTAGAAGTACCTTGATCAGGAGTTGATGTCGTTTTTATTACTGCTAGACTTTCTTCTAAATGTTGTTTACAGGTCGTCTTATTTTATACTTCTAAGCGGTCTAAACTCTCTTGTGTCTATATTATTTACATTATTACATGTTTCTATATAGATTTTAATTTTTTCCAATCCCTAGTCTTGGTATAGCTAATTATTTTATATTATTTTCTTCAACACTGCCGGTAAAAATTTGATGAACACCCCCTAAAACCGAAAAGCTTTTTAGTGATAAAAGATTCCGAAAGACTAAAAATATTTCTTTATATTTTCAGATGTCCGCTTGACAGATTTCAATGAAATTTTGGCATGACACGAAGGTTGTGTCATCGGCCTGGTGCAAAAGTTTTGAACTTGAAAAGCCGTTGACGCAACACGTGCGTCACTGCCAATCACATACAAACTATATTTTTCTAAACTTCAGTGATAATTTTTTATTATTTAATTTTCATTATAGAGATACATACATATATACTGATATAAACTAAAAGGTAAATAATTGTAGAATAAAAAAATAAATAAATAAAACCTGGCTTAAAACCTAGTTCAAAAGAATGTCAAAATTTAAAAAGTTAAAAGTTTCCTAAGATTATTTGCGTGAGTGAAATTTTTTGAAGCACTCTCCTAGGCAAAGACCCGATTTTTCTGGACAAGAGTGACAGAAAAACACGTTGTCTTTCCGCAGTTTCTGGCTGTAGCACACTCTACACATTTTTCTTATTTGCTTTCCTTTATCATCTTTATCGAACTTCAAGGAAAGATGTTCAGTGGTTAAAATTGATGTAGCTGGGCTTGTTTGTGTACTTGTTTTGTTTGCTTCAGAAAGCAGTTTTGAGAGTATGCGGAAAACTGTAGTAATCGAATTTTTCCTTGGAAGAATATTTATTAAAGAATAGAAAACTATTTAATGTTCCAATGGACAAACAATGCACAAACAGCTTACTGTTCCATCTTAGAATTTTTTGTTCAGAGGAATAATAAAGGATTTGGTCTTGACGATCTATTCCTGACATATTCGTATTATATTCGGCTATCGCATTTGACGTGTATTTTCTTCCACCTCTTCGATTCTCTTGTTCCAAAGTACCATCAAACTCAGTAGAAATAAACAAAACTTCTCTCTTATTTTTCCACTTTCCAATCGTTATGTTTTCTGAGCATTTTGTAAGCACTTCCCCTCTCTTGGGCTTTGCCTTTACAACTTTTTTCGGATTTTCTTTTCTTAAATTACCAGTGACAAAGGTGTTTATTACGAAGAATTTTTTGGCAAGGAAGAAACTATGGTAGTTGTTTGAAGTTTATCCCATCAGTCCATCTAATATTCGACCAGAAGAAGGCGGCTGTTGAGGAATTTCCTGGTCCGACTCCTCACTTTCGTCGCTTGAGCAAGCCTCATACTCACTTCCATTATCCACAAATGGTTCCTCATCAATTTTTGAAGCGTTAGCCAATGTCAGCAATTCATTATCCGTTAAAGATCTCTTTCTATCCCCCTCAATACATCCAATGCAAAAACAAGTTCTCAAATGGGCCAAAACTGCCCAGAAATAAGCTTCTCAAAGCTCTCAAGCTCTTCAAAGCCGACACTTAAAGTGCACTCAACGCAACTGTTGCGTCATCTGCTTGTGGTGGTGGAAGTCCATGACGCAACATATACAGCGAACGTGTTCATAAAATACTAAATAAAATGCTATTATAATTAAAGGTAAGTCGTAGTTGTGGCACAAATCACAATCGTGTCTACAATGTGAATGTGAATCAGGAAAAAAATTCATAGGACATCTTCCCTTTAGAATGTTCCATTAAAGCATTTCTGCAAAGTTATTTTAGTCATCTAGCTTTCAAATGAGATTAAAGTAAATTATAGTGATTGTGTGAATTGACACTAACATCTCAAGCCACGGTAGACACGGTACACACAATACATTTTTAGCAGATAACAATTGCTGTTAAAATGCATTTACTTTTAACTGGCATTTTTTTCTTAATGGTAGACTCGATGCAATTTTTTTTTGAGCAAAATGTGCTTGCTTATCTTGATGGAATTTTGTTTTTAAATGTTGTTTTTTGAATTTTGATATAATAAACAATCTTGTTTAGCGTTTGCTATTTTTTACGTTTTTTAAAACAAATTCTACATTGCCACTTTTCATAAATATATATTGGGATGTGAAATTTTCATCTGCAATTATTACAGTAGCGATGAAAAAATAAGCGTTCTGTCCAAGAGGAGCTTCGTGGACATTTTTTCTACTAAGATTTTTACTGTACGATACCTAGTATAGTTATATTCAGACTTTTACGAGCCATCTTTCGTGATAAGTTTATGAAAAAAAACGCTTTGCACCGATTTACAAGTACAAATTTAGAAAAAATAGCTTACGTGAAAACATACATGCAGAAATACATGTAGAAACTGCATCGTGCTTACTGGGCTTAAAGAACAAAAACGCCAAATATTATAAAACCCTGCACTTGTAGCTATTTTTACACAACTTCTTGCCCACACCTTTGTGTCTTAATATTTAATAGAATTTATGCTTGTAACTGATCACAAACCCCTCGAATGGCTCGTTTCTTTTCACAGTCAATGAGCTAGAGATTAAAACTCCAGGAATATGAATATTTGATCCTCTGATGATTTGAAACTCTGAAGAAACCACGCCACTCTTTGAACCACCCAAAAAGATGAACGTAGGAGACCTCGAATTTCAAAGATGAGATCAAAATTGGTTACAAATTAAAGAATTTAAAAGAGAGAGAGAGAGAGAGAGATAGAGAGAGAGAAAATTAAAGAAAATCTGTTTGAACAATCTAAAAAATCCTCTTCAGCACAATGTATAACTGAAGATTTTAAAATGCAAAAAAGGCATAACAGTGGTTTTTAAATAGGAATGCAAAAATCAAAAATATTTACTAGACAAAAATATCAAAGAAAAAGAAAGAAAAACAAGCCGATGAGGCGACCGTTGCGTCGAGTGGACTTAAAATTTTAGGTAGTCAGTACTTTGCCAACTTTCGAAAGGGAGTATTGCTTTTAGATTGTTCAAACATATTTTCTTTAATTTCTCTCTTATTGGGTAGTACCAGTAATACATTCATTTGTTTCAATTAAATACCTCTGTGAAAATAAATATTTCATTCAATATTCAATTCATCACATAGGCAAATCTACCAATGAATGTCGCAACTCTATACTATAGAATAATTATAACAATACTCCCATTCCTTTTCCGTGACCTGTCTCAGTCATACATTAAATCTTAAACCATTCAAATGAATCGTATTCCGCAAGGCGAATTCGATTTGTTTTCGTACGGTCGATCGGTCGTCCTGTATTCGGTCACTTCAGACAGGTCAAGGCGGTAACGAGAGCGAACAAGGTGATCGAATCGTTACGAACAAGCTGGATTCAATGTGACCGAATTAATCACGAGTAACACAACTCTAGTCAGTACTTTGTCGGTTTACAAGAGGGACTGTTGCTTTTTTTTGGGCAGTTTTGGCGCATTTGAGTACTTGTTTTTGCATTGGTGGTTTTGGGAATTTCTTCAAAGAAGTAGTGTCATGGATAGTGAGATCCCGGGCCCTTCGGGTGCAAAAAAAGATGTATTGAGTGGGATAGAAAGAGACCTTTAACGGATGATGAATTGCTGACATTGGCTAAAGCTTCAGAAAGTGATGAGGAACCGTTTATGGATAATGGAAGGGAGTATGAACCTTGCTCAAGTGACGAAAGTACAGAGTCGGACCAGGAAAGTCCTCAACAGCCGCCTTCTTCTGGTCCATTGTCAAATAGTAATAACTTGTCGAATATTAGATGGACTGACGGGATCAACTTGAAACAAATTCCATTCTCAGTTAATCCTGGATTACGAGTATATGTATCAGACCATTCACCTTATGGATTTTTTAAATTATTAATCACAGATGAGCTGTTAATATATATTGTGGAAGAGACAAATCGATATACAGAAGGTTTTATTAGCGAGAAAACCACTGAGCAATCTTGAATTACGACCTGGAAACCACTTTCAATTTCCGAAATCAACGTGTTTTTGGCATTATGGCTTCATGTGGGTCACATTCAATAAAGAGAACCCAGGATTATTGGAAGACAGACGAACTTTACAACTTGGGCTTTTTTTCGCAACATATAAGTAGAAACCGATTGCTACTCACAATACTTCAAAAAACCCCAAGAGATAAGAACCTGGGTTCGGAGATGGATTGCATAAAATAAGTTTCATTCAAGATAATAGTAAAATGGATGGATGAAATTTATTATCCAGCAAAAAATCTGTTCCTCGTGAGTCAATGGTTTTGTGGCGAGGACGATTACTTTTTCGTATATACATTTAAAATAAGAAGCATACGTTTGGTGTTAAATTAAAAAAATATTAAAAAAAATCTCAGGTTTAGTTTTAAACGTAAGAATACGAATGTTGGTTTAGCATTGATGCAAAAGTATTTAGGCATGGGACAATGCTTTCTTATTATTTTTATTATAAAAAACTCTAACCAAAACAAGAAGCTGTATGTACACCTTTTGTCTATGACAACATTAAATAATTTTCTATTATTTAATAAATATTCTTAAAAGTAAAAACTCGATTACTACAGTTTTCGGCATACTGAACATCTTTCCCCTTGAAGTTCGATAAAGATGATAAAGGAAAGCAAATAAGAAAAAGATGCAGAGAGTGCAACAGCCAGAAACTACGGAGACACCGTGTTTTTCTGTTACTCCTGTCCAGAAAAATCGGGACTTTGCTTACGAGAGTAATAATAATCTTAGGAAACTTTTAACTTTTAAAATTTTGACATTCTTGTGTATTAGTTTGTATGCCAAATTTTTTTTTTTAATTGTACCACTTTTTACCTTTTAGGTTATATCAGCATAGATGTATCTCTCTAATTAAAAATAAATTAAAAAAAAGTTATCACAGAACTTTAGAAAAAAATAGTTTATGTGTGATTGGCAGTGACGCAAGTATTGCGTCAAAGGTTTTTCAAGGGCAAAACTTTTTCCGCCAGGCCGATGACGCAACCCTTGTGTCAGGTCCAAATGTCATTGAAATCTGTCAAGCTGACATCTGAAAATATAAATAAATATTTTTAAAAAGTCTTTGTGAATCTCTTATAATAAAAAAGCTTTTCGGTTTTAGGGAG